TCTTCATCTTCCTTTACCATCATCTCATGAGTGAGAAGGGAACCAATTAGCTCTTCGAGGGTGAGAGACTCTGGGTTTTTAGCTTCGATAATAGCCGTCTTCTTTGATTGCCACTCCTTTGGAAGAGAGTAGATCACCTTCCTCACAAGCTTCTCATTAGGGATTACTTCTCCATATCCCTTGAGATCGTTGACAATCACGGAAAATCTATCCGTCATAGATTTGATGTCTTCATTGGGTTTCATCTTGAAGTTCTCGTAGCTATGGTTGAGAAGACTTTTCTTTGATTCCCTCACTTCGTTGGTTCCTTCATGAGTGACTTGGAGCTTATCCCAAATTTCTTTGGCACTGGAACAAGATGATATTCTTCCATATTAATTTGGCCCTAAAGCACATAATAGAATATGTATAGCCTTAGAATTAAGCTGGAAATTTTTCTGCTCTTCTCTACTCCAATCGTTGTACTTGCCGGGTGGAGAGGAGTAACCGTCCATGATTGAGTTCCAAGCTCCTAGATTGTAGGATTGAATAAAGTACATCATCTTATTCTTCCAATGTGCATAATTTGCTCCATTGAAGAAGGGTGGCTTGTTGACCGGTTGTGAATCCATTATAGGATATTCTTCAAGATAATAAGCACCGGAGGAAAAAGTCATTTCTTTGTCGGTTGCGTCGGAAATTGGTAGAGCTTCTTCGAGGATCGTCTCAAGGTGGTTAAACCTTCTTAACGAGTTAGGCTCTGATGCCAATTGTTAGGATTTTCGGAAGCTCGAATCGACAACCGGAACGGTTTGCAAAGAGGGGTCGGAATGGTTTTATGTTTAGGGAGTAAGGAGATTGAAAGATAGAGAATTGCACAGCGATTTATAGTGGTTCGACTTTCTCAATCAAAGTCTACGTCCACTACCTTAGCTCCTCACCAAGGATTTTCCAACAAATTCACTAATTTGTTCTTTCTTTTGAGGATAAAGAGTAACCTTACAATCTCCCTAGTTTTTCCGGGCTAAACTAGAACATTTCCTTAGCTTTTACAAGGGATAAGCTAGAACCTTTCCCCTTTACAAAAGGATAAAAGAAGTAAACAAATAAACCTCTCAAAGGTAGGTGTTTACAAGAATTTAGCTCACAAGAACAATATTTACAAGAGATAATGAAAATAAGAATGAAAAACTTCTTCTCTTATGATTGATTGCTTGGATAGTTGTTCTCTTGCTTCTTCAAGTGTCCTTAGCTTGTATTTATAGCTTGGAATGTGTTTGATGTTGTATATATCCGTTGGGGATGTTTTGGAGTCGTTTGGGGATTATTTTTCTACTCAAAAGGCTGCCCATAACATGATGCATCGATGCATGATCAAGGTGCATCGATACCCCTTCATTAAATTCAAATAAACTAGCCGTTACTAGCCGTTGCAGCCTTGATGCATGGATGCATCGCAGGATGCATCGATGCATGGCAAGGATGCATAGAAAGATGCATCGATGCACTAATTGCATTCGATGTTTGGATGCATGGATGCATTGCATGATGCATCGATGCATTAGTGCAGATGCATGGATGCATTGCAGGGATGCATGGATGCACTGCAGGGATGCATGGATGCATGGATGCACTTTGACACCCTTTAGCATTTTTGTTCAAATCGGAATTTAATGGACTTTGAATTATTTTTGAAACCTTTTGAAAACTTTGAATAAATTCAATTCAAATCCAAAAACATTTTGCAAATTCAATTCAAGTCCAAAAACATTTTTCCTTAAATTGTTATATCAAAACATAGTTCAACACAAAGAGATAACCTTACAACTCCCTCAAGAATATACCCCAATTCTTGAGAACACTCTTTTCTCAAAGAGAAGATTACAAATTTGTAAACTTACAAGAAAAACCTCACAAGGCAAATATGTTTGCACAATTCTAGAACAAAGAAAGAACACTCAAGACTAAATACAATTGAGCACAATAAGTGTTCTTGAAAGAAAAATGAATATTGAATGAAAAATAGGCTTGAAATGCTCAAACTTGAGGTTTGATGCTTTCTCTTTGATTCTCTCTTGATTCTAGTTGCTTGATGTTTCTTATTATTGATCAATGGCTTCTAAGCTTGCTTAAATACACCTTGAATCACTTCTGAACGTTGGGGATCATTAATGAAGTTATTTGAGTCGTTTAAGTGTGAAAACAATTAATACAACAACTTGGAGTGTGGGGGGAATCGGTACCCCTCATGGGGAATCGATTCCCTAAGTGTAAAATTCAAATATTTCGACTGTTGAACAATGGGGGGAATCGATACCCCTGGGGGAATCGGTTCCCTCCGAGCATACTGGAATTTATCGGAGCCAAACCATTCAGGGGGAATCGGTACCCCCTTGGGGAGGAATCGGTTCCCTCTGGACAAACTGTAATTTTTGGCTTTGAAACGGTTAGAAATACTTTGTAAAATTGTTTTGAAATTATTTTAATATTAAAAATTAATTTTACACTTTAGTAAGGATTTAAAATAAACTTTGAAATACTTTGAGTAATATTTTGATATTCGATTAATATATCGAATATGCTTAGAAAAAATCTTTTTCAAAATTAAAATTCTTTTAATTTAATTTGTTATATCGAAACATCAAAATGTTTTCAACAATATGGGTTATTGATAATGCAGTTTGTTTCTGTGTTGCTTTTGGGCTCCTGTTTTCGGCCGACTGTTGATGGTCGTCTTTTTTTCCCCGTCACCGTGGTTCTGTTTGGTATTTATAGGCCTTCATCGGCCGTTGGTCTGTTCCGAAATACGGGACTCTCGTGGCCGTTGAGGCCGGAAACCTCGGGATGGGTCAGTCTCGGGGATATCGACCGGCCGTTGACACTGTTGACCGTTGGTTCCCTGACTTTGCGGCGTGATAAGGGTTGAATAAAACCCTAGTCTTTTGCAACCTTGACCGTTGATCTCCATCTTGATCCAACGACTATGAACTGTGCGGCGTTGGACTTAGACAAAACCCTATCTTGCAATTGGGTTGGTTCAAGCCCAGTGTTTGGACCGGACTTGGACTGTTATTAGACCCTGAAAAAAGAAAAGAAAGAAAAAAACATAACAAGAAATTAATAAATAGAAAATAAATAAATAAAAATAATATAAATTATATAATATATATATTTCAAAAATATTTTGTTTAAACTATATATTATATTTTTAAAAAAGTTTTTAAAACTATATATTATATAGTTTTCAAAAAATGTTTTAAAAATATTATATAAGTTTTCAAAAATGTTTTTAAAACTATATATTATATAATTTTTCAAAAATATTTTTAAACTATATATTATATAATTTTTCAAATTTTTTTTAAAAAACTATATACTATATAAGTTTTCAAAATGTTTTAAAAAATATAATAAATAAATGTTTTCAAAACTATATATTATATCTTTTTAAACTACTTTCAAAAACTATATAATATATAATTTTTCGAAAATCGTTTTCTAAAAATTATATTTTGTCAAAAACATTTTCACAAACTATATACAATATATATATATATATATATATATATATATATATATATATATATATATATATATATATAACAAAATAACTCTAAACGAAAATGAGTGTCTACAATACGAAATGAATCAAAAGATATATTTAATTTTCAAAATTGAAATTTAAAAGCTCCGTCCTTTATTACAATGACGAAACTAGATTCTAGTTTAAGGGGCAAAGTATCATTAATAATAAAAGAGTGGGAAGGGCAATGTCAAAATAAATCAAAACCCTATCTATTAATAAAAAATAATAAAAGAGTGGGATGGGCAATATCTATTAACTTTATAGATATTTATCTTTATACATTTTTAGTAATAAAAAAAATAAGAGAGCATTGGCTCCATGAAACTACACATAGTTTGTCCCTATCTATTAATAATGTCATTACTTTAGTGATCCACGTTAATAGAATATTCGATAATTAACATTGTTAACTATGCAATAATTTTATCACGTTTCTAAAGTTCATGAAAAATATTGATTTAAAAAGATTTAAAAATGAATTTAATTGAAAAAAATTAAAAATATATATTATTATTATTATTTAATTTAGAGGTAATTTGTGTTTTAAGCAAAAGAAAAACATAGACGCTATTAGGACCATTGGGACGGACAAAACCTCAAATGCCTACTTCACATAATATCTTAATTTATATGATATTTTGTATAATTGATTATAATCATTTCATTTTAATGGTTAATTAATTTATTTAAAATTAGATAACTCATATATCATTATAAAATATCATATATAAAATTAAGTTATATGAATAGTGTTTTTAGTATTTTTAATTTTTTAATAATTTAATTTTTATTTTATTATTTTTATATTTAATTTTTAAATGTTTTATATTTAAAAAGTAAATTTTAAAATATTTTTCTTTTTTTAAAAAATCAAATATATTTTGAGCTTAAACAATAATAATTTAGCCCTCGAACTGGATAAAAAAACCAATTTAGCCCATCTTTTATGTCATCAGTTACCGTAGACCACCATGTCAATACTGTTACCGTCACATCAATATCGTAACGATTAACAATAAAAATCGTTGGTGATCATATTGGATTCGTGAGTTTGAAGACCACATTGATTACAAAAATAATCTGAGGACCACATTTGTTTTTTGAAGGAAAAAAAATTAAGGGCTTCACGTACCATTAAGCGATAAATTTCAATTCAATTTTCTAAAGCATGGTGAGGAGTATTTTCTAATGTTACTATAAAAAGGATAATTTGATCAAATCTCCACCAAATTTCCCATCAGATTAATAGCAACATGTGGATCAAATCAATCACATGGGATAGTAGTTGCCCTCTTGCTTTCAAACTAAACAAGAAAGAAGGAAAAGAGAGTACCTCATTCATAAACCCAGCTTTGCTTAATGTGTGTAATATATATATATATATATATATATATATATATATACTAGTTCACTGCATGCTATATGTATATATATCTATCAGAAATTACAATGAAGAAGGTCACCATTTTAGGGCATGAAGTGAAAGGCCCTCATGAAGTTTGAGTATACCAAGAGCTCTGGCTAGTCTGAGGGAGAGAAAGCAAAAGTAGATGGCTAAGAGCCCACCTCCAAGGAACTTATCCAATCTCATATTTTTCCTTGGCAAAATGACCAGTGCCCAAAGCAAGCCTGCCATTAGAAACCCCAGTGTCTCATAAAGGGTAGGGTCTCTTGGGATTTCAAATGAAGCAGGGTATACTGACCACGATGACCAAACAAATGATACCCCCAAACCCACCAGTGTGTTAAACATGGGCCCAGCATAGCACCCTGAGATGGCAGTTTGAACCCCATCTGCCCCACCATTCAGTGCCATTGCTGAATTGGATATTAAGTCCCCAAGTGAGTTGCCCCATGCAAGGACAGTGAGTCCCAGAACTGAAGGACTTATCCCCAAGATATTCCCAAAAGAAACCAATAAAGATACCAGTTCCTCAGCTGTAAAATATGTCCAGGACACACTCATAAGGAATCCTCCAATGAGCCAGGGTAATTGACACCTCTTTGGTGGGCTAGATTTCTTGGTGGTCACAAATGCTAGGTTCCCTAACACCAATCCAACCAACCCTGCAACCATATAGGTCACCAAACTGGTGTTGGAACCCATGGCTTTTTCCCTTTGAGAGTTGCAGAGTTCAGCCAACATTAGGGGTGCTAATGTCATTGAAATGACTGCATACGGCTTGGACCATCTATCCTCATTGATCACTGGAATGGTCAATCTCCTTGGCAAGTACAAAGGTAACTCCAAAAGATACAGAAACTTACCAACGTAGTAAAAGCTCGGTGATTCGAAGTCGAAAAACTTTGGGGTTTCCTCTTGATTTCCATTAGTTTCTTTATCCACAAGCAAAGATTTTCCATCACTTGCATAACCTAGCAATGGTATCCCAACATCTCCTATGTTATCAGTGGAGACTGGTATGGACTCCATGTTACTTTCATTGCTTTTGTAGAAGAAATGTGATGCAGAAACAGCAAAAACATACAGGAAGTAGATGGAAACAAAGGAAATAGCTCCCCCCAAAGTGATTTCACCTACAAAAAAGATAAACATGAGGGAAGAAAGTGCTAAAAGGAAGAAGATGATGTCTCTAATGAAGCTCGGTTTGTCGACTGGAATCCGATGACTGCTGATAATTATACTAATAACCCCGACGACAGGACTAGACACAAAGAAGGCACCACCCAACACACTATTGAGACCAACACCTCCATTTCCGGACCCTGTGAAAGAAACAATACTGGCAAAAACATCGGAAGCGCCATTTCCGAGTGAAAGGAGGGTGACTCCGGCAATGGCAGGGGAAAGCCTCAGTATTTTAGACAAGGACTCTAAGGAAGTGCAGAAGTAATTTGCTGCAGTATCACCCAATAGATAGAACAAAACTAGCAGCCATGTTAAGAGCACAAGATGGCCAAGGATTGGAAATCCTCCACAAGTGCAATAAAAGATCTGGAGATAGTTTATGTACCCTTTAGGCCTGCACCCGATTTCGGACTTCACATACAAGCACCTTAGCCTATAATCAGTGAAGTCATGGAGACTGGCGCAGCTATCATTGTTACTCCCATGGGGGGTCAAAGGGTGGTTATTAATGATGGGAATTTGCCCATTATTGGATTGGCCAAGAAAATCATAACTTATAATAAAGAAGAGGAGGAAAACAAAGGATATGTTAAGGAAAAGAGGGAGCTTCTTAGGCAGAAACAATGAAGTTGCCATTAACAGTTTGATAACACGAGAAACTTTGCAGAAATGATTTTTAAGGGTGTAGATACTGAGAAGTGATTCAAATGATGGATTCTCTTTCAAGCTTTGTTATACGGAGAGGGAGGTATAATTTCCCATGAAGCAAATATCAAGAAAATAACAGTAAACAATGAGCACAAATGTTTCATTTCTCAACAAATAGTGTTTAACAATCTGTATTTTAGCTTGGGGTTTTACATGTGCTTTTAACGCGTCCAAGTTTACACCATTAAAGTAATGTTTGGAAGATGAGAAAGTGGGAGAAAATGTCTATTTTTTCCTCTGTTTGTTGTTTCAGTTCCCTCGAGAGAATATGTGAATTTCAATGGATTTCTGTGTGTTTGCTTTAACACTGTGGAAGGGGGCAAACCTTTGCTTGTTTATTGATTACAAAGTTATAGGCATTTTATGGCTTGTACCTCTAATATGTACTAAGGCAAGGAAATTTCGCAATGCAAAAGCTTTTGATGCAATTCTTTCGGTCCCGTTGCCCTATTAACATTCGTCTGTGCAATTGTTGATCAATAACTGATATAATTAAACGGAATTTGAGTTCTTGATATCGCTTAAGCAAGTCTCGAGTTCGAGTCTTTGTGTCTGTAAAAAATATTTGTTAGGAGTCTCATCTATTAAAATCAAGTGTGCGATACAAGTCGGTTTGGATTAACCAATGTAAATCCCTGGGAACCGGAAGGGAAAAAAATAACTGATAATCAGAGGGAATTATATTATAGCATGTCTCCTAATGGCATGTAGTAGATTCGTGGGGCACGCTTTGCATATCTAAAACTTCGCATTGGGTCGCGGATCGATGAAGTTTGATAGTTTGGATAGGTGACAGTGACCTATTTTATTGAAATTCACATATCTTTTGCTGAAATAAGGGGGAAATGGTATATTTTAAATACTATTTTTATATGAATCATGAATATTTATTTATTTATATGTTTAATAATAAAAAAATATATATAAATCGGAAAATTCAAATAAAGTTGAGTGGTAATTTACTAATCAAACCTAGTTATATGAAGCAAGTAAAGGGGCATAAAATTGGGGTAAACCTTGTTGAGCCATCCTATAGCCCACGGACTACTGTAGAGCTGACTCGCCATTATAAGCCCAGCAGTAATGTTTATCCTCTAGAAGGTTGTTGTCGTACAATGTCGGGTTTTTCTTATTAATCTGGAGTGAATATAAAGTAGCATTTGTTTAAAGACTCTCAATTATTTGATATTAAATATTTATATATTTCTGCATACGTAATGCTTGAATTCAGAACATCAAAAAATAACAACAATCTTTTAACTATTAAGATCACTTGGTTCGTGATAATATCTATTCTTTTGTGTATATAACCAAAAATAAAGTTGTACGGAAAAAGGTATTTTGTAATTGAATTTCAATATAATTGAATAAAATTATATAATAATGATGTGTTTAAATAATTATAATAATCGTTAAATTTAATCTAGACGGAGTCATCCAATTAAATATTCTAATAATTGAATTTATATGACTATATAATTATAATTTATAATTACAAATATAAAATAAAAATTTAAAATACAATTATACTCCATTGAATAAATATATTTAAAAAAATAATTTTTTTTATAATTACACAAAAATCTAATAACAAATACTCTGGAAAAGCAATCCACCTGAAGTTGCAGCGTGTATTAATCTTGGAATGCGCCAACTTTTAAAAGAGGTGAAATTTTAGTTTTAATTCCTTATGTTTTACCTTATGTTTGATTTGGTCCATCCAATTGTCAAAGTCTGGTCTATTTGCTGATAAAAATGGAAAAATTACAAAATTATGTTGGATCAAGTTGAGTTTACATCCATATCTCAGGGTGGGTTCGGAACAAGTGCATATCAATTTTCCTCAAATATGGGCGGATTCTAATATGATAATCGAACTTTCAATTTTATCAATCAAATCACTTAAATTTACATGATGGATAATTTGATTTATTTATAAAAGCATAAGTTAGGTTTATAAAAATATTTATACACAACCGGATATCCAAGTTTTATAGCATAAAAAATAATAATTAAAATAATAACAGAGTTACGTACTAAAATACATATAATGATCCTATAGATACATATGCCCTCTAAAATAACTGAAACGATACTATGAATTGGAGATGCTAAAATCCCTTCAATTATAGTGCTCCTCAACAAGGTTTCTAATCTATTAACCTATAAACGAAAACATCTGAACATTAAACTTTACAAATTCAATATAATACTTATACTCTATTATACTTCATATAATTCATAAATGAAACAAGTAAATTAGTATATGTATAGAGGAATGAATCTAAACATATGACATTATTACAAGAAGTAGCATGCTTTCCATTGCTCATTTATAAACTAAATGATAGAAATCTCATTTATAATCTAGTTCTAGTCTCTAAGGCTTATTTTCATATACATATCCCTATAAATAAATTATCTAATTTCACTTAGCATCAAATCACATGGTGTCACGTAGTAATTAGATAAATAACGATAATGGTACCTAGTGTCATCAAGCAATCATGTATTGTTCCACTAAATAGAAACATAAGATATGAATGCTCGGTGTCACTTAACAATCACAATTGTCTAGCACATCTACTACCATATGTGGTCATATACATACATAGGTACATAGGCCACACACATCAATCCAGGGATAGACACAAGATCTTATGTTAGGGGGTGAACTTCTAAAATTTTAGGAGGGGTGAACCTCTAAAATTCTAAAGGGTAAAAACATATTATTAACTTGAAAACAAAAAAAAATTAAAATTTATACTAATTTGATATTTTCAGGGGAGAGAATACCTCACTCGCCCCTTTTGATCCATTCCTGCATCAACCAATGCCCTCTACATAATCATGTCATTTTTTAAATCAACAAGGAACTATGTTTATTTCCTTTTGTCAAATTCTATGCAATTGTCAAAGTCTGCTTTGTATATCTCTATTTTCCCAATAAAAATAGAAAAATAGAAAAATTATGTCAGATCGAGTTGTGTTTATATCTCATATCTTCGGGTGGGCACGAAACATGTGCAATAACAATTTTCTCAAAGGTAGTTAAATTCAAATGAAAATTACTATATTTTATATTAGAGTCAAGGTAGTACACATGATAATATATATTTTTGGTACAACAATATACATCAAAATTTAGTCATGATAAACACTAAAACCTTTCTCTCTCCAAATTTTGTTAGTACACATGCAAATAATATTTAGAGTAAATTATATTTTTGATCACTTAATTATAAGTAGATTCTAGTATGATAATATATATTTTAATTTTGTCAATCAGACAACTTAACTATTGTAACACCTTAAACTTATCTCGTTAATAAGAGTAGGCCTAAGATGCCATATTGGACCACTAAAGTGAATGACCAAAATTTAGAAACCTTTTAAATTCACATGATGGATAATTCCATTCACTTATAAAAGCATAAGTAAGGTTTACAAAAATATTTATGCACAATTGAAGCTTCAAGTTTAATATTATAAAAAAATAATTGAAATAATAACAGAGTTACAAATAATCTGACATCTCAAACCTGATCATCATCAGATGGGTCTGAGATGTCAGATTGGGTTGTCAAAGCAACCACCGAACTTAAAAACTTTTTTCCATTTTAAAACACAATATGATTTATCAAAATATGATATTCATAACATATATAAAATATTTATACAAATTGAAGTTTCGTGATACTTTAGTTTAAACCAAAATAATACAAATCTCAAAGTTTACAAACCAAATACTTGATTAAGACTCCTATGAATACACGTGTCCACCAAAAGTAACAATACTATAGTCTGGAGGAATATGTTGGAAATTCTAATACGATGGTACTCCTCAAGCATCCAAACTTTGAGCTTTACAAAGCTCGCAAGTATATCGTTAATCTAACGTACATTATGAATCTTATAAACAAAAGTATGCTAGCATAATAAACAATGAATAATGATTATATATTCACTAATCCATAATTAAGGGCCTAACCTTGAATATATTTTAGTCTCTAGACTCAACAACGTGCAAGCCATGCCTTAATCACATGTGCATACACAATTGTAGCATAATATTCACTAGTTATCACTGATCTACACCTTAAGATCATCATATAGAATTTAATATCTAACTTTAGGATTTGCATCTACAATATTAATCATCTCTATGGTCTAATGGTTTCACCTAGCCTCAGGCACCATGCAATTATACATCAAGTCATACACATGATCACAATTTTAGCACTCGATATCATAATAACATCTCAGGCACTTAACATGAATGAAGAAACCTAATATCACGTATACCTCAATTTGCAACTCCGTAGACATTAAAATGAGCATGTATGCATACCATTTGAGACTCATCTTATAAGTTATTTGAGTATTGGATATCTGAGTACATAGTGGAAGCATGATAATTGTGGAAGTAATTCTGGATAAGACCAAAAAGGGAGAAAACATTCTTGATTGAAAATATTTGTACTATGAGCCCCAATGAGAACCATATTCCTATAAAAAAAAGTTTAAGTGAGCTTAAGAGAACTCTATAACCATGTATTGACACTGAATAAATTTCGAGGACGAATTTTTTCTAAGGATGAAAGAGTTATCACACCCTAAATGGGGGGGGGTTAGAAGTTTGAGAATCGATATGCATCTATTGAAATGGAAATCAAATTACAATGGGTCAAAATAGAAGAAAATTATGTGTTAAGGGGCTTAATTGAAATATTCTAGGAGTTTAAGGACTTATTTGTAAATGAATATTAGTAATTGATGGATAAATTAGATAATGGTGTAGTTAAGGGATCCTATTGAAATGGAATTGAAAGTGTTGGTAACCAAATTGAATAGATTTAAAATTATGAAACCAATTCGATAGGAATGTTAACTAAACTAAATATGGGGTAAAGCTTAGGTCAATTTATGAACCCTAGAAAGTCCAGGGTCACGCCTAGTAATTTATCTAAAATAATTTGTATAAATGCAAATTATTATACCATAAAACTGAAATATCTGCCATTCTATGGAATATATGTGTCGTCCTTATCGATTTTCTTTGGAATCCTCATTGGAGGTGATTCTCTGCCGTTGTGCATCGTCGTTCGATGTTCTATGATCATCGTGTTTTAGGTTTCAAAGGACTTATCTCAAATCTGCCTTTGGTTTCACGAAAGAATGCTCACTGCTTGTTGAATCAGACGAAATCTATGACTTCATCATGTCGTCGTCGTAAAAAACTCTAATAATAGCCTCATTCTCTCCCTTTCTCTTTTGGTTCTTCTTTTTCCTTCTTCTCTTTCTTAATCATTTTATTTTCGGCGTTGACATGTTAATTGTGCATCAATAAGAGCTGTTGTTACGCTATTGTCTCTGTTGCTGCCGTCTCTATAACCAAACCCTAGACAATGTTGAAGCTGGAGAGAAACCCTGGAAGGTTGGGCCAACCAACTAGCCCAATTTTCCAGGCCTGCAGTCAGCCCAACTCTAAGGGATATTAAGTTGCGTCAATTCTAGAAAGCACAAAACTCTCGTGCCTAACCCATCTAAAGTCGAATCGAACCGGTGACCAAATTGAATTGTAAACCAAATGATTGACCTACCCGACTCGAATTGACCATTGACTAACCAACCCGGTTTAACCGCTGAGTCGACCCGATTCAACCCATGATTGACCTGACCCAGTATCGTAGATTGTTGAACACCGCCATTAACCATTGACCGCCACCGTTAACCATTGACTTTGTAGCATTGATTTTCGACCTGGAGTTCTTGGAAAAGGAAAGCTTGATGCAACATGCTCGGAGGCTCCAAGCAGAGGCAGTACATGCTATGGTCACAAACATTTGCATGGTATGACGCCTAACAAGGGAGAGTGGAACACAACATAGTTTGGCTGCCACCTCCTTTGGGATGGTGCAAATTGAACAGCGATGGAGCACGACAGACATAATCTGGCCTAGCTATTTGTGGAGGAGTGGGTCGGATGCAAATGCAGACTGGATTATGGGTCTTACAAAAGCAATTGGTGTTTGTGCTGTGATAGATGCAGAACTGTGGGGAGTTTTAGAAGGAATGACGATGACATGGAACCGAGGGATACGAGATGTCATCGTTGAAACAGATAACAAATATATACTTTCAATGATGAGCCAAGGGGTTGCTATGGAGGTGCTATCTTCGATGGTTCCACATATTGTGAAACTCTTGAAGACAGTGGCGAGTAACGTTTTGCTTAGTGTCCAGAGTGGGGAATAAGGTTGCTGATGAATTAGCTGAATTAGCTAAATTAGCATGGGATCTTCCGTTTAACCTCCATCTGTTCCATCAACCTCCAAGTGCAGTAGAGCAGCTTGTCACGAAATTGGGCCTGCGATTAAGTCCGTGACAAGCTGCTGGGAAAAGATAAGCTGGGGATACGGACGCAATAGTAGTTATGTAGATTAGAATTGCTAGTTTGTGTTCTTTTCTTTCCAGTCACAATAATAATAAAAATAAATGAATGAATTTTCAAGTTTAGAAAATATTCATATAAAATTAAGACAAGATTACTTCCAAGTTTGTATAAATATTCACTTTGCACCTTATTTTTTAAAGTATTTTATTTTCTAATTTTTTTCAATTTTTTTATCAAAATAAACATTGTTAGATGAAATCATTAGTTGACTAACGATCAATCTATACTACTGATGTGATATTTTTACATGTCTAATTACTGACATGACACATACCACATGATCACTTTTAGTGACCTATCACACGTCGCATCATCAATTAAATACATATGAAAGTGTGTGAGTCAACAATATATGTTTACTTTTAAATAATTATCGATTTTCATCCAACATGATATATTTTGATTAAAAATTAAAACATTAGGAGATAAATAACTCTTAAAAAGAATAAAGAAAGAGATAAATGACCATTTGTCTTACGACAATTTTAATATACGATTAATGAAAATTGTTATTGGAAATATTATTATTTTTTTAATATTTTCGGTAAAAAATTTCTTAAAGTATTATTTTTTTTATCTAAAATATTAATATTTTTTAATATTTTCAATAAAGTGCCTAATATTAATATTTTTAATAAAAAATAATATTTTAAATATTTTTTTATCAAAATATTAAAAAATAATAAAATTTCCGGAAATGCTCTTAAACAAAAATGGAAATGCTGGCAAGCTCTAGCGGAGTACGAAGCACGCCGTGCTATGCCCAACCATCGCGTTTCATTTTCTCTCGCCGTTGCAAATTCCTTTCGTCTCCAAATCGACCTCGCTTTCTTAGTCCCCAAAAATTGTCTAAGTCTTCTTCTCTCTCGCTGCTTTTATTGAGAAATGGCATCGGATGTAACAGCTTTGCCACTAAAGCTTCGTCCGAGCTGGAGGTTTCTGACTCTGTTACTGGTTCTGGTGCTGGTGGTTCAGTTTACTGCAACCTGTTTCTGTTAAAATTTCGTTTGGAAATAGAGAGGTAAGCTTAGAGAAATTGTTATTTTACTTTTATTATGAAATTTTAGTCGTGGATGGAGTACAAAGTAAAAGCAACCGGTAGAAAGTAGAGTGTTTTACAACTTAAATTTAGAATCATGAAGTTCGTTATCTAAATATTTCAGCTATTCAAAAAATTAAGTTGCTTGCTTTGGTTGAATGTGTTGCGGAATACGGCTATCAGATAGAGCAAAATCGTAACTGATAATTTGAGAAAATAAAAATAAAAATAAAAATAAAGAAGACACAAATTTTACGTGGAAAACCCCTAAATAATATAGACTAAAAACCACGGGCAACGGTAGAAGAATTTCACTATGAGAAAATAGGAATTTCAACTTCTCTCGATCTACCAAGGAGAAAATAATGACAATTCTCTCTTGATAAAAAGGAGAAAACAACTCTCAAGAAACTCTCTAAATTCTCAAGTATTGGGAGAAAGCTAGAATGATTTGGGATGATTTTGAAGCTAAATGGGTTAGGGTATTTATAGTTGAAGCTTAAAGACTAATCTTGTAAATACCCTAAAGTACAATGACTAAATTTGATATTTTACCCAAACCTAAAAATCAACAAAAACTATCGTGAATGACCATGCACCATTCTTTTCTAAACTTTTAGTGCATCCATTTAATTCCACCGAAAGCCACCGAATTAGCCATATGTTTTTGACTTTTCAACAATCTCCCACTTGAAGATTTGATTGGAACAATCATATCTTCACACCATTCTTTCTACCTTGTACCCTTCATGTTGCTTACGTCTCTGATAGGCTACAAGAGGATCGACACCAAGTAAATTTATCAGCGTTGATCGTCTTCGTCATGAAATCTGCTATGTTGTCTTTGATATGGATCTTCTGCATATCTATCGTTCCTTCTTCCACCTTTTCATGAATGAAATGATATTGAACTCGTATGTATTTTGTCCTTGAATGAAATGTTGGATTTCTTGCTAAATGCAAGGCGCTTTGACTGTCACAAAACAGAGAGACATACTCTTGATTTTACCCAAGCTCCTCCAATAACATATTTAACCAAATTGCTTATTTACTGGCTTATGTAGCTGCTACATATTCTGCCTCTGTTGTGGATGTAGCCACAACTGACTGCAATTTTGAAAACCAACTTATAGCTCCACCAGCAACTTTGAACATATATCTTGTAGTAGATTTGCTTTTATTCAAATCCCCTGCATAGTAAAAATCTACATACCCATTGATTAATAAGTTTGATCCTCCGTAATATAATACAACATTTGAGGTTCCTTTGATGTATCTCAGGATCCTCTTTACTGTATTCTAATGATCTTTGCCTAGATTCGCCATGTACCGACTAACCACTCCCACTGCTTGTACAATGTCTGGTCTTGTGCATATCATAGCGAACATTAAATGTCCCACTACTGATGCATATGGTACTCGAGACATCTCCATCTTCTCTTCTTCACTACTAGGACTCATACTGGAGGATAATTTAAAATTAATAGAAAGATGGGTAGAAATTGACTTACAATCTTGCATGTTGAATCTTGACAAGATCTTATTCAAGTAATTCTTTTGTGAAAGCCAAATCTTCCTATTACGCCTGTCTCGGTGAATTTGCATCCCTAGAATCTTGTTTGCTGATCACAAGTCCTTCATTTCAAATTCTATAGCCAGTTGTGCCTTCAATTCTTCAATATTATCTTTGTTGGGTCTTGCAACCAACATATCATCCACATACAACAACAATATAACAAAATCGTTATCACCAAACCTCTTGAAATAAGCACAAGGGTCTGCATTAAGTCTGTTGTATCCAAGGCACGTAATGAAGGAATCAAATCTCTTATACCAACACATCGGCGTCTGCTTTAGATCGTACAGAGATTTGTTCAACCTGCAAACCAAGTTCTTATTTTCTTTTTCTTCAAAACCTTTAGGCTGGAGCATGTAAATCTCTTCTTCAAGATTTCCATGAAGAAAAGCTGTTTTAACATCTAGCTGCTCTAGATGTAAGTTTAATGTAGCACAAATTGCCAAGACTACTCGACCTGTTGTTAGTTAAACCACAGGAGAAAAAATTTCATTGAATTTTTATGGTATTCGAATCGAGTTTAGAAATAATTTATTATATAGATGAGACCCATCATATTCATTCATGTACCTACCAATTTCCAACATGTTCCAAAAAGCATGCATAAGGTAGCAATGTAATACCTGGCTTTTCATGCCATATTGATCGACCATTTAAACTCTATTCGATCACCGTCAAACTTTAATTCAATGTCCAATAATTCCTCGAATACATAGCAAACAATTTTACGTTAGATATTGAACTTAATGGGAAAACCAAATTTGATTTCGAAGATAAATCTCTAAAAAATGGCTTACCGGGTGTGAGTTTGGCAAAACAGACCTCGAATTCTGACTCTGGATGTTGAAAAACATAAAATAAGACTTTTTGAAAATTTTAAATTTTTTGGTCAAAGCGAAAGTCAACGGTCAGACCGGTCAAAGTTAACTGTCAGTCAACGGTATGACCGGTCAAAGTCAACAGTTGATTGGTCAAAGTTAACAATCAGACCGGTCAACGATTCAGGTCAGGTCAACCTGGTTCGAGTAATAAAAATACTAAAATTTGGCTTCAAGTCCTTGAATTTCCAACACTTTATAAAGTTGTCTATAAGTTTCAAAAACTTATAATTTGACCCCCTAAATTGGGGTGTGACAAAGAAGGTGTTGTGGGGTCGGGAGATCGAGCAGACACTCAAATCGACTTCGCGTCAATATGCTGTAAAGGCTCGGGAGGAATACGAGTCAACTAATGTAATCTCATGTATTTTTACATTATTTTCCATTATCATAGTTGCATTAATAAACTAAGATTCGTCATATTCATATATTTGTTGGGATTCCATAAAGGGAAAAGAGTTTTCGAGTGAATAAATGAAAATAAGATGTTTGGATGTGTTGGTAGATATTGTGTATCACCATTTTCCGATAGAGATTTAAGGACAAACGTTTTTGGCTAACTTAATGGAACTACCTTTTTAGGAGTTTGATGTAATTCAGAGAATGGATTGGTTGTTGGAATACAATGCAATTTTATGGTGTAAGATTAAGCAACTAAAATTACAAATGCCTTGTGGAACCAGTATAGTGGTATCTTGAGAGGAGAAAATGGACAACATTTGAGTGATTTCATCCTTGACTACCTACAAGCTTTTGATCCAGGGTGGAGAAACTTTTTTAGTTTATATGATAAATTTGAAAATACCGCCCCCGAGTTTAGAGAGATTGCAAACTGTGAAAGAATTCTCAGGCGTGTTTCTTGAGGAATTGTATGGATTACCTCCATATGGAGATGTTGAATTTGGGATAGAGGTGTACCCAAGAACCTCCCCTATGTCTATAGCTCTTTACTGAATAGCGCTAACTGAACTTCAAGAATTGAAGACCCAACTTCAAGAGCTTCTGAACAAAAGGTTTATTCCTCCAAGTGTATCACCTTGGGGAGCCTCATATTATTTGTAAAGAAAAAAGATGATTCTTTGAGGTTATGCATCGATTATTGGAAATTGAATAAGGTGATGGTTAAGAAAAAGTATTTGCTTCCAGGAATAGATGATATTTTTTATCAGCTCAAAGATACGCAAGTGTTCTTAAAGATTGATATGATGTTAGGGTATTACAAATTGAACGTTAAGGAGGTAGATATTCCGAAGTTTGCCTTTAGACTCGGTATGAACATTATATTCCTTGCGATGTCGTTTGGACTTACAAACGCCTTCACAACTTTCATGGACTTGATGAACCACATGTTTCAATCTAATATGAACCAATATTAGTGGATTTTATAGATGATATCCTAGTGTATTCCAAATCAGAGGAACAACATGATAAGCATCTCTGGACTGTGCTATAAATCCCCCGAGAAAAGAAACTTTATGCAAAGTTCAACAAATATGAGTTTTGGTTACATGAAGTAAATTTCTTTGAGCATGTAGTTTCAGTAGAAGGAATCTTGTTTGCTGATCCCAAGTCCTTCATTTCAAATTCTCTAGCCAGTTGTGCCTTCAATTCTTCAATATGATCTTTGTTGGGTCCTGCAAGGAACATATCATCCACATACAACAACAATATAACAAAATCGTTATCACCAAACCTCTTGAAATAAGCATAAGGGTCTGCATTAAGTCTGTTGTATCCAAGGCACATAATGAAGGAATCAAATCTCTTATACCAACACATCGACGTCTGCTTTAGACCATACAGAGATTTGTTCAACCTACAAACAAGTTCTTTTTTTATTTTTCTTCAAAACCTTCAGGCTGTAGCATGTAAATATCTTCTTCAAGATTTCCATGAAGAAAAGTTATTTTAACATCTAGCTGCTCTAGATGTAAGTTTAATGTAGGACACATTGCCCAAACTACTCGAACTGTTGTAGTCGAACCACATGAGAAAAAATTTCTTTGAAATCAATACCTTTTTTTTGAGCATATCCTTTGACCACCAGTTTTGCATGATACCTCTCAACTTGATCGTCACCATTTCGTTTGATTTTGAATACCCATTTGTTACCAATTTGCTTCCTTCCTTGTGGTAGTGACACAAGGTTCCATGTATTATTTTTATGAAGGGCTTCGATTTCTTCTTGCATCACCATCATCCACAGTGAAGCATCTGAGCTGTTTATTGCCTCATGGTATGTTGATGGCTCACCATCCTTTGTTAAAAGGCAGTATGCAATATTACCTTCTATAACATAATCTGAGTTCCAATTGGGACGTCTTCTCACACGATCTGATTGACGAGTTGTTGGAGCTTCAGAACTCTCTGGTTCTTGTTCATCATGTTCTGGTTCTGCTTCAGAAGAATCTCTTTGTTCAAGCTCATTTTCCACATGTATTTGTGTAGTCTCTGACTTTTCAACACTATCATATTCTTCTTTTCTTTGTAGTTTATCTTCTACAAAGATAACATCCCTGCTGATGATC